TGTATGTATATATATATATATATATATATATATATATATATATATATATATATATATATAATTTTTATTTATTATTATTTTTTTTTTTTTTACATGTTCGTCTATTTCAACTTGACCTATTCAAACATACGCGTCAGGGCCTACTTTATTACATTTTTTGCATTTAGGAATTGTGTCTCCATAATGAGGCATGATGTCCGGTCATTTCTTTTAAATGAAATTATGCTTTGAAAGGGCGCAGGCCCAATGTACCATGATTTTATTTCTTCTAGTTTTATATCTATTTCTGCATGCACACTCGGTTTTTTTCTCTACAACTCTGGTGGAAATCAAATTGCAATGCAGTGAAAACTTCAATTTACGACAATCGTCAGTTTCTTAGATTTCCCATCTGTGATTTTTCCAACCAAATCAAAGTCACTCGATACATTTTTTACCTCCTAATCACAAATTATTGACCGATCCTATCCTTGGACTTGGGTTTGATGTTTCATATCAAATTTTTAGATAAAGCACTTGTCATCCCGAGCATTTTAAACGGAAATATGGACAATGTTTGCCTTTTTTAGAGGTGTTTTATCGTATTAATTATTTTAATTAGTTTGCACTAATTAGTTTGCACTAATTATGAAAGATACAAAGTTAAGCAGGATACGTGATTGTGGACACAAATGTATTACTTTGGGACATTTAAAACGCAGATTCGGTCTTTAAAACATCAAATCAAATGTTCGTCGCAACCTTTCTTTTAAATGTCTCATTCTTGTCTCATCTTCATTTTCAGTCAGCGTTAAGATGAAGGTTCTGTGCGTTGTTGTTGTACTTTGCCTTGCCGCGACATTCGCGTCCGCCAAGTCTCTTGACGAGAGAGTGGGTAAGAGGGATTTACAAATACTGGCTTGATGCACTTTTATTTACTCCTGGTATTCATGAATTGTCAAACTGTAATATTTTACCTCGATTTGTAATTTAATGCCAACCTGATGTGCCTACACTACTATCAACGCCTCATCAACACAACCGCGCTACGATCTAACTGAACGGTTTGCTAATATTCGTTTCTATTGCAATGTGTCTTGATACTGTTCAAGACATTATCGTTCATAGTACATTTTATCTCCTTTTCAACAGTTCCTCAGAAAAGCCGTTTTGTAGACAAAATGAATAGCCATTCTATAGCAAAAAAAAATAAATAAAACCAATTCCCCCAACTTCTTAACTTTCCGTTTTCAGCCCGCATGTTGATGGAAGATGAAGAATTCAAGAGGGGTCTCAAGTCAACAGTTTGCAACGCCATCGAGAACCTCATCAACAATTTTGCCCCTGATCTTATCAAGTTCGGCTGCGACAACGTGGACGAAAACGCTATCTGTGGTCTGGTAGTGAATGCCGTCGGCGGCTATTTTGGCGCGACCAAAGCAACATGTAAGCTGATCATTCCCGACAGTCTCATGAAGAGCCTGCAGAATCAGTGTAGGCAACTCGGCAGCTTTAACAACGTGAACGTCTGCTAGACGGACAAAGCCGACTGGCAAAATATCAGCGCGCTTCTACATTAAAATTTGTGCAACATTTGCTGAATTGTTTGGGATGGAAGACATTACGAGTTGAAGTGCGAACGAGTACAGTTATATAAAAGATCACTTTATTTTTGGCGGCCATTTTGTTTGGGCTGAATAGCCCTTATTTGCTTTTTGTGAATTTTGCTCAATTTATGCCGAGCTAATAACAACAATGGCTTCTTATTAATTTTTTCCTTGTTTTAGTCCTTATTAATTTCTACAAATTTTAAAATACTAAAATACGTGTTACAATTTGCGTTTTAATCAATTTAATTATAGCCATTCCTACTAAAACATGATTATTCCACTTATGTTGTGTTGCTAAAGCTTTCCTCTAAAACATTTATTGGATTTTTATATAATTTTTTTTCGGGGGGAGGGGGGTGGAGGTGTAAAAAAGACAAGGCATTTCATACCTATAGTACTTTCAAACTTATCAAGTAAAAACTGTTTCAAGTCAAAACGAAATACTTTGGCCTAACTGGAGCAAATACTGGATATCACCCGTATTTCCCACGCGCTTCCAATAAAAGTTTAAATTGGGCACTTGGAATTATAAATTATTGTAAGATCACCGACCGCAGTCTCAAAGTACAGGCCCATAGCCGGGAATTTCAAAGGAAGTGGGCGTCTTTATCTGAATTCTGAAGAAATAGATTATGTTATCCCCTCATCTGACCTAACTTATAAAATGACATTTTTTTTCTGGCAAAATGCGCTTCTTTCAGTTGCTGTCAAATTATGTAACTTACCATGTTGAAAAATGTAATAAGAAGAAGAAGAAGAAGAAGAAAAGTCTAAAATGTTCAGTAGTCTTTACATGGGTAAAATAAACAGAATGAGACGAATAAAGTCAATAAATAAATAAATAAATAGGCAGTTTAGATATTATAATATTAAATTGTAAAGTATATTTAACATTTTAAGAATAGATAGTACAAAGTTAAGATAACAGCCAGTCAAATTAGTTATAAAACTTTCTGAAAATGAGTTTTTAAATCTTCTTTAAAGTTGTACTGAGACTCCATAGATAAAACCTTCATTTCGTGTCCTTTCATCACAGACAATCTTCGACGACACTCACCTCAAAATACATTTGGTAAAACAAAATAAACGGCTTCTAGCTGTTGCCTATTTTTGGTGGTTTACGCTCCTATTGCAAACGGACGGAGGGGCGGTCAATGTGAAGTACAGCACGTGCTCAGGACGACCTTCACATTTTCTAGAACAACGAGAAAATCAAGTGACTGAAAAAAAAAACATGCTCAGGACGATACGAATGTGTTTCCTCGGTCACTAGACATTCCTGATTAAAACGGGGTGGCAATATCTGTACCACAGTCTTTAAAATAATTACTCCAATCATTACTAAAAAGCCATAATTCAACAAAATCCCAATCTTCTTAAAATCTTTGAAATATTACCGAGAATGTGTAAAAGGTAGGTGTTACCCAACAATGACTTGGGATAATAGTTTATAATTGTGCAAGTTTAATGATTTTTTTGTCAAAGAAACTTATTGCTCCTGCTCTTCAATCATTTTTATCCTGCGACCTTGAGGCCCATTCATGCTGGACGGCGTCATTTCTGCGTCCCTTCTGCGATCAAAAATGTGGTCTGGACTTGTCGGAGGCGAATGTTGCGGCGAGGCAAAGTACAACTACGCACAGAACCTTCATTTTAACGTTGACTGAAACTGAACATGACAAGTATATTTAAAATACATTTCGAACATTTAAAATAAAAGTTGAGACGAACAATTGAACTGCTGTTTTAAAGATCGACTCTCTGCGTTTGAAAATATCCCAAAGTAATATGTTTGTGTCCACAATCACGTATCCTGCTCAGCTATGCATCTTTCCTAATTCGGATAAATTAATTAAAACGATAAAACACCTCTCATAAAGGAACCCATTGTCCATATTTTTGTTTAAAATGCACGGGATGACAAGGCAATCTAAGTGAGTGACCAGTACTTTATTTAAAAACTTGATATAAAACATCGAACTCAAGTCCAAGGATAAGATCGATCATTAATTTGTGATTACGAGGTAATAAATTTATCGAGGAAAATGCAGCAATAGATATAAACCTAGATTTTAAAAAAATCATGTTACAGATAATTGGCCTGGGCCTGTGTCCTTTCATTGCATAATTTCATTAAAAGGAAATTACCGGGCATGTCTGCACTTTAGAGGCACGATGTGAAACTTATATAAACAGTAGGTCCTGACACGAAATTTTTAATAAGTCAAGTTAAAATAGAAGAATATGTAAAAAAAAATACGAATGTCTATTCCTCGGCGTTAGAACCTACCTGGAAGAAGAATGCGATCAGCGTCAATATCTGTTAACCGCAGGAACAGTGTGCCGATCTTCACGGAGAAGTCCCAATTTATACCCCCCTGGAGACCCTGGCCGTGGCTCGGTTCCAGAAGCAACCCGCTGCAGGCGCGCCTTAGCGTAGGAGTCCGTCACACCTGTCTGCAGCACCCTATCTTTGATTTCATTGTTGTGTGGTCATACAAGCAATTTTAATTTGCTATCAGAACGTTCTTTGAACGTTCTTTGTGCGATCTTAGCGATCATCGAGCGTTCTTTAAGCGTCCAAAGGTGACCAGGCCAGTTCCATGGTCCCACAAAGGACGCAGATGTGTAAAGGGGGTTTTACAAATGGTCGATACACGTAGAGACAGCTTAATTCCCGCTCTTGGGAAGTTCGGGTCTGCGGCTCAATCTTCAGAGACAGTTTCGAGATATGAGGCTTAAAAAAGTCACGAAAACATGGTAGGGAAATGATCACCCTGACATTCAAAAAAGTTTATCTCCTGGTGGCAAATTAAAATTGCCGGTTTCACCACCTAACAATGAACTCAAATGCAGGGTACTGTAGACACGCGTGATCGACTCCTACGACAAGGCGCGCCTGTAGTGAGTTGCTTCTGGAAGCGAGCCACGGTCAGGGTCTCCAGGGGGATATAAAATGGGACTTCTCCGTGAAGATAGGCACACTGTTCCTGCGGTTAACAGATATTAACGCTGATCACATTCTTCTTCCAGGTAGGTTCTTACCCCGAGAAATAGACATTCGTATTTGTTTTACACATTCTTCTATTTCATTGACTTTATGCGTCAAGGCCTACTTTATTATATTTATCACATTCAGGAACCGTGCCTCTGAACTGAGGCATGTCCGTTTATTTCTTTTTAATGAAATTATGCTATGAAAGGGAGAAAGAAACTTACGAAAAAAGTTACGACAAACGTCAGTAAGTCAAAGGTTTCCTATCTGGGATTTTCTCGCCAAATCAAATTTTTCTTGGATAGGTTTTTTTCCCTCCTAATCACAAATTTTTGATCGACCCTTGGGTTCGATGTTTTATACCTAAATTTCTAATAAAGTAATCTAGTTTTAAATGACTGGTCACTCAATTAGACCACCTTCTCATCCGGCACATCTCAAGGGGTAATATGGACAATGGGTACTTGTATTAGAGGGATTTTTAGATCGCCTTGTCTTCCCGTGCATTTCAAAAGGACATATAGACAGTGGGTACTTTTATTAGCGGGATTTCCTCGTTTTAATTAATTTTTCTGAATTATGAAAGATAATCGCTCAACAGGATACCTGACTGTGGACACAAAAATATTATTTCGGGACAATTTCAAACGCAGAGTCGATCTTTAAAACAACAATTCAAATATCCGTCGCAGCTTTTCTTTTAAATGTCTCATTCTTGTTTCATCTTCAGTTTCAGTCAACGTTAAGATGAAGGTTCTGTGCGTTGTTGTTGTACTTTGCCTTGCCGCGACATTCGCGTCCGCCAATTCTCTTGACGAGAGAGTGGGTAAGAGAGATTCACAAATACTGGCGTTTAACTCTTAAATTAGCTCTTTTTAGTCACGGTATTTATTAGTGTCAAACTGTAATTTTAAATAGATTTTTAATTGAATACCAGGGGCGGATCCAGAGATATTTTCTGACAGTCTTCCAAATTATCTTTGTTGATCCATCCTCCATTTTTGACCGTCTTCCGACAGAAAACATTAGATACCTGACAATATAAACTTGAAAATCTGACCGTCTTCTGGAAGACCCAGAAGACGGTCTAAATCCGCCCCTGAATACCACCCTAACGTGCCTACACTACACTCAAGGTCTTATCAACACAACTTGCTAGGTCTTACTGAGCGGATTACTAATATTTGTTGCAAAGTGTCTTGTTACTGTTGAAGACACGATCATTCAAATTCGTTCTATTCCCTTCACAAAAATTGTAGACAAAATATAGACAAAAGGAAAAGCCATTCTATTGGCAAAAAAATTAAAACCCAATTCCCCGCAACTTTGTAACTTCCCCTTTTCAGCCCGTATGCTGATGGAAGACGAAGAATTCAAGAGGAGTTTCTGGACCAAGATCTGCGACGCCATCGAGAACGTCATCAACTCTTTAATCCCTGATATCGTCAAGTTAGGCTGCGACAGCGTGAGTGAGGACTTTATCTGTGATCTGGTGGTGAAAGCCGTTGGCGGCTATTTTGGAGCGACCAAAGCAACTTGTAAAGCTATCATTCCCGACAAGTCCATTGAAGACCTGAAAAATCAGTGCAAGATATACGGCACCTTTAACGGCGTGAATATCTGCTAGACGGGCAAATCCGATCAGCAAAATGTTAGCACGCTTCTACATTAAAATTTTTGCAACATTTCTTTAACTGTGTTTGAGATAGAAAACATTACGAGATGAAGAGCGAACGAGTATACTAGCTTAACAGACAATGTTAATTTGGGTGGGCATTTTGTTCGGGCCGAGTAGCCCTTACTTGATATTTGTGAATTTTGCTCAATTTCTACCGAGCTAATAACAACAGCAGCTTATTATTAATTTTCTTGCTTTAGTCTTCATTAATTTCTGCCAATATTAATATTTTAAAAACGAGTTGCATTTTGCGTTTTTATCAGTTTAAGCCAGTCCTACCAATATTTTATCATTCCACTTAAATTGTGTTGCTTAAGCTTACTTCTAAAACAATTAATTGGAAATTTGTATAAGAAGTATTTTTCTGAGGGGGGGGGGGGAGTGTCAAAAAGACAAAACATTTCATACATATAATATTTTCAAACTTATCAAGTAAAAGACTGTTTCAAGTCAAAATGAAATACTTTGGCGTACGTGGAACAATTACCGGATATTACCCCTGTCTTTCCCACGTGCTTCCACTAAGAGTTTAAATTGGGCACTTGCAATTATGAATAGTTGTAAGTTTACCGACCGCAGCTTCAAAGTACAGGCCTATTGCCGGCAGCAATTTTAAAGGAAGTGGGGTGTCTATTTTCTGAATTCTGGAGAAATAGATTCTGTTACCCCCTCAGCTGACCTAACTTATAAAATGACATACGCCCGTATTCTATAAGGTCACTCACACTCACACTCATAGAGTGCCACTTGACACTCAATGAGTGTCACTCAAGACTCAATGAGTGAAAGGTTTACCTCAGACTTGAACCTTCCACAGACCTCACTCACACTCATTCAAGTTATTAATTTTGAGTGATGGTTGAGTGTGTGGTACACCTCCCTCAACATTCACTCAGTTCAATGTTTGTTTACCAAAATGGCGGATGTGTGGCTAAATATAATAGAAAACAATAATAGATTACAACATGTTGGCGGTCAAGTGCGAAGAGAGTACAATTTTGACTATGAAAAGTACACTGACGAGGAGTTCAGAAGACGTTACAGACTGACCAAAGACGCCTTCCAGGAATTGTTGCGTTTGGTAACACCAATGATAGCCCCTCATAATGAAAGAGGCAATCCAATCCCTGCAGATATACAGCTGCTACTTACACTGCGTTTCTATGCCACTGGCACCTTCCAGATGGCTTGTGGAGATCTCTGTGACATTTCCCAGTCATCTGCAAGTCGTATCATCAAAAGAGTATCAGAAGTATGCTTCGCTTAAACCACAATTCATACGGTTTCCTGAAGGACAAGAACTTCAAAATATGAAGCTAGGATTTTGGAGGATAGCCGGTTTTCCAGGCGTTGTGGGTCTATCGACTGCACTCACATCAAAATACCATTTCCAGGTGGTGTGGATGCAGAACTGTACAGAAACCGGAAGGGCTACTTCTCTATCAACGTTCAGGCTGTATGTGGTTCCAATTTGGAGATGTTGCATATCGTGGCCCGGTGGCCTGGCAGTGTACATGATGCACGAATATTTGACAACAGTCATCTGTGTGCACAACTTGAAAGAGGGGATATAGAAGGTATTCTGCTAGGCGATGGGGGTTACGCGTGTCGTCCATATTTGATGACTCCAATAATAAACCCACTTACAAGGCCAGAGCGTTGTTACAATGCTTCTCAGATACGTACCCGAAACACAGTTGAACGAATGTTTGGTACATTTGTTTCCCTGCCTCAGCATGTCCCTTCGCACAAAACTACAGACCACTTTGACCATCATTATCGCCACGGCAACTCTGTATAACTTTGTAAGAGCCAGGAATGACCCCATGGATGAGCCACCTCCGCAGAATGCACCGAACCAAGTTGTAGCAGTTTCCTGTTCCAGCTAGAGGATTGGGCAATGCAGCCAGACGTACCATAATACAGCAACATTTCTCATAAAAGGACAACAACAAAGTAAGTATTTGCGTGAACTATTTATTGAGTCAATACCAAATCATACAATAATGGCAGCAGTTCTTTAAGCATCTACTGATTCATCACGCATTTGGATTTCAGTTTTCTTCTTCTTTTCGCCCTGTTTATTCCAGTAACTTAACTCAGCATCAAGCACTTCCATTTTTCTTTTAAGTTCTTCTTCCATGTACATGTACTCCATATTCTTCTTCAGGTACTCGAGTTCAGCACGGTGTTGTTCTTGCTGCATTGCCAAGCATCGGGATTGAGCAGGAGTGACCTGGGTTTTCCTGGGTTGCTTTCCAGTCTCATCTAGATCTGTAATAGTGACAGTTGATGGAGTGGGTTCATCATCAACATGGCTATCATGTTGAATGTCATGCTGATCGTCGCGTACAGCATCTTGTTTATCTGTAATGAAGTATTGCAATAAAGTAACCATTTTACAGTTATACTTTGTCATAAACATTCAAATAACTTAATAGTGTGCGGAAAATATGACAATCTATTTATACAGGCGATTACAATATCATCAATAGCAGTAATAATAAACAGCATTCTAGGTAACTACTACGAATAAATACCTTGCTCCACATTGTCATTATCATAGGGGTTGGACAAACTGTCGATCTGTGATGGTATAATGGCTGCTACAGCAGAGGCAGTTTCATCCGCAACCCTTCTTCGACCGCCACCAGTCAGCTTTGCTTCCCTCTTTTCCTTTGCA